TAGTATTGAAATAACGATGAGAAAGCAATCTGAAGAAACGATAGTCATAAGGGTTAGATTAAGTGTCTTCTATTGGATACTGGAAAAAAAATGGATTCAATAAAATATGTTCTAAATAATCATCACGTAACATAGGTTGGCTATATTAAGATTTACATAAGACTCAGAAACTAAACAGATAAAATATGAAATTTGCATTCATAATTATTCAGTGGTTAGTTTCCAACTGTTTTGATAACAGAAATGGACAGTGTGAATTATAATCTTTACAGTTTTTATTAAAATTTAATTACAGTTTATGAAATTCAGTATATTTTGCTATTTTCTTACCTTTCTCGATTTATAATTAACTTTTGCCCAATCGAATAGTGTGACTACTTTTTCTAAGTTTTCTAAGTTTTCTAAGATTTCGATAGCGTAATAAAAAGACGAAGATTATCAGAACTATGTGATATATTACCGCAATACATTTCGAACAATCTAATCACACATAATATACTTGTTAAGAACATTTATATATAGAAGTAAAAAGTCAAGTAGACTAGAAATGGAGGGTAAGAGGAGATAAGGATAATAAAGAAATAATATGAAAACAATATGAAACCTTATCACTCTGAATAATAAGCTCGTCAGTAAGGTGTACCTGTAATCTTGAGGGAACTGATGCTTCCTAGCAAATTCAATCCTGTGTCACCCAGCTTCACAATCAGAGGGCATCATTTCCCTCAAGACTACAGGTACACCTTGCTGACGACTGTCAAATAGAACGAAACATGTGTCCAGGGTTTCCTGTTGACTACTTCCAAACACCATCTCATCTCACAATAGTGCATGTAATGTCGAGTCACCTAGACTAGTGGTCACATTGCAATTTGTTTGATAGGATTCGATCTGCACTAAGAAGTACTTGACACATATGACATTGATCAACACCCAATGATCAATCAATTGTGAATCTACTGTATTAAAATATATGAATAATATTGCGATCTACGTTATAGGATGTCTCACAATTTGATTCTATGAATAGTATAAAGTGGAAGTAAGTATAAGATTCAAGTTTAACATTTAGTATAAAATCCAATATGAGGATTGATTATTGGTCTCTGTTGCTACTTGTCTTCATGAAAAATGAACAAATAATCTAGTTGCCTAGATATGGTCATTAACCTTAGTATATACTTATAGTTTGTTCGTTAGAGTAGGCTTCAGCTCAAGAAATCATTCATCAGTAATTAAGAAAACTTTCATCTGAGTTGAAGAAATAATGTAAATTTGTCAGTATAAAAGAACTAGTTTAACTCAAACTGACAGTTTTATTTGTTGTAACAGAGACTGTTTATAGGATGAACTTTCTGAGTTCCATAATTGCGTCGCAAAATGACTGGTTTTAAAAAATTATTAAAAACCAAGAAGTAATGAACGTCTGTTTTGTCCTAGTTTGGGACGTCTCAGTAGTGTGTAGGCATAAATCTGTGTAAACCACGGGATGGCAAATCAATAGTCAAGAAGTTAAATGGTTTCACTGAAAACTGGATGTCCCTAGTTCCCCGCCCTTCTGAAGGTAAGCATGCACTACCAAGGACTCCTTTACCGAGAAGAAATAGCTGTTGGATATTACCTGGGTGTTCAATGGTGATATGCTTTCTGATTGAACGCTACATTGTTTATCTGGTCGTCGCTGATTGTTATGTCGGAATCGCTTATCACTTATATTTGTAAAGCGAGGAACCACTGTAATTCCTTCGACGTAAAAGTAGGATCGCAAAGACTGGTACATATGAAGATACATTAGCCCAGAAAACACGACGACGATGATCCAAGTCGAAAATATACTCATTTATATATTGATTCTTACATATATTTTGATAATTAATTAGGTTGAAATCACATATATGGAAAATACTTACAGTTATAACAAATCATATGCTATATGTCATGCTGACGATAGTTCAGGCCAACTGGATACAAGAAAATCGTATGTTATACACAATAAAATGTCATACGAGAAAACGAAACAAATATTACACTAAATAATCATTACATTAAATTAAAATGGAATTAATGTTGAACAACAATCATATTGAGTAAAACAATGTAATTTTGTCTTTTCTTCCCGTCATAAATGGCTACCTAACTTAGATCACTCCATAGTGTGAATTATGAAAAAACAAATTATGATGTAACATTTATGCATAAATAACTAGCGAGATAAATATTTGATTGTTTGTTCAAATAGTTTATTGTTAAAAGTATCTGAAATGAGTTTAATTTGCCAATAAACTAAACAAATCTTCTTATCATATTATAACTATAAGCGATAGTTTATTAGACTCGAACTAGTTATTATTTATTTTAAAATAGTCTGTTTTTTTAACTATTACAGTCATATGATTATTTATTGTATATGGAAAGTATATTTCATTTAGTTATTTGAACACATAAATATTGGTATAAAGGAACACCGAATACATATACACCACACAAGTTATTTGGTTTGTGTGTGGGCTGTGATACTTCCCGTTGCCCAAACCAATACAAGTGGTATTCTTAGGTAGCCATATCCGGATACTAGAGCCCATGTACAGCATTGGTTTGGAATTAGGGTTTTCCAACTCCCCTAGATGGATCCTTCGTATCCACCAACCCGGTTAAAGCACCCGACATTCGCTTTTCGTCCTCTCAATTTCATAGACAACACCCACGCCACGAGAAGGCAGTGAGTAGGACTTTCCTGACAGTGGCTGTGTACGCGTGGCCATGTGAGAACATTTTGATAGGGAGAACCGACTCCCCCAACCCTCAGCCTTACCAGGCCATGTTTTAATGAACTATTGTATTTAAATTGTAATAAGCTATGTCATCTACATATTCGAACAGTTAATTAGTTGAATTAATTTTCGTAACTAGTATTAAATAAACATAAAATCCATGTGATGGTTTATAATTCATGATTTATTGTAGTTAACGAGAACACAGAAGTGGAGACAACCGAATGTATTTGAATACAAAATGTCCAAGTCAAATCTGAGAACCATACAGTAAATACTTAATCTTCAAAATATCAATCAGTTGTCTCAGATTTGATTATTCCTTCGTCTACATACTAATCACTTTCTTTTCTCGTTCTTTTCTCTCCAATTTTCTCAAGCTTCTATTGTTGATACATACTACTTATATCTGTCGATATCAGTAGCACTCACCATAGTATCATATAATTCATACTAATTAATAAACGATATTAACAAATTGTAATAAAACAAATCTGTCTCTTTTCTTTTTTAAAGAAAGAACAACGCTATTCAATAATCCCATATGTAATAGTTAATTACCTTGAAATAATTAACTCATAACTGTTTTCTTTATTATTGTTCAGTGTTATGAAATATTGTTGTGGATTTTTTCCCCCAGTCTTTCATATAAGCCTTATTTAATTGTAAAAATAAAAAAACTGTAATCATAATCATAATCATAATAAAGATAGTAATTATTTTTATCACTAAAGTGATTAATTGTCTGTTTATTAAAGTTATTATATACAAGAAAGAAATTAATACATTAATGATGAATAAAAAATTTTCATCATAAACAACAGAACATTTAGAACATAGTTTCCCATAGTAACTAGATGAATATTTTTTTATTGGAGATTAAACTTATTGGAATATTGTATAACCATAATTATTATGTTGATATTATTTGTTTAATTTTTTATTATTAATATGTATTAAAGTCATAATATAAATTTATTGACAAATAGGTCATAGTGTTAGATTGTTTTTTAGGAACAATAAACATTATATGGTTTATGATAAATCTCCTTTTTAAATGTCTTAGGTATGATGTTGTTGTTGTTGTTGTTGTTTTATGCGTTTAGTTTGAAAAACAAACAAATGCAAATTCAGAAAAGATATAGTTCATATGATAGAATAATTAGTTACATAATCAATTAGACCTGATTATTTTTTTGTTTAAGTGTCAGATATCATCATTCAAAAGAACTGTATACATAATAAATAATGAAATATATTACTTATTGTAATCATGGTTTTACATGATATGTGAATTTGAAAAGTATATGAAACTGTTCATTATTATTCATTTAATGGAAGATTTAATAAGACTGTAAAATAATAAAGTTGATTTGAAAATATCAAACAATCCATTTGATTATGTAATAAGATTTTAAAAGGAATGAAGAATATTATTTAAGATTATTAGATGAACAAATGGTTGAAATTTAAAGCAATTAGTGCCTTTGATAAATTTCGATCATGTAATAAGAAGATGTAGATTATTAGAACTATGTAATATCTAAGTGTAATACATTTCGAACAATCTGATCACACATAATATACTTGTTAAGAACATGTATATATAAAAATTAAAGGTCAGCTAGACAGGTTAAAGGTAAGCTATAACGAAGAAGAAATAATAATGATAAAGTACACAAAGACAATGTGATTACCACTCCGGATAATAAATGAGTATTACTAGGGTAGGTTAGGTGTAAGGATGAACTGTTTTTGAACGCATAAAGGTGGTTTCAATTTCCGTATAGCCAAGGCTCCAATAAACCTTAGTATACGTCTTCGAAGGCTTTCGTATAACACTACAAATACTAACTTGATGTCAATCTTATGACTAGTCTCAATCAAATGTTTCGCAATGCGTTCAAAAACAGTTCATCCTTACACCTAACCTACCCTAGTAATACTCATTTATTATCCGGAGTGGTAATCACATTGTCTTTGTGTACTTCATCATTATTATTATTATTATTATTATTATTATTATTTTGTTATGACTTACCTTTAACCTGTCTAGTTGACCTTTAATTTTTATATATAAATGTTCTTAACAAGTAAATTATGTGTAATAAGATTGTTCGAAATGTATTACGTTTACATTGCATATAGTTCTTCATCTTCTTATTACATGATCGAAATTGTTGAAAATGATTTATTATTAATAATTTAAGTAAATTAAAATTAATTTTTACAATGTTGCCATCCAACTGTATTAAAAACAAACAAACAAATTATACATTAATGATAAAAATGCGTGTATATATATATAAAGGAATTATAGTACACAAGAATGAAATAGATTCATTTCCTGTCATAATGTTTAGTTTACTTTATAAAGTTGTCATTTAAAAAAAAGCACCATAAAACCAAATGTTTTAAAAAGAAGTAAAATACTATGGGGGGGGTAGGTTTACATTGTATTATATTTCCAATTCATTATATTGAACAATATAATGAACTTTAGAAGATATATGTATAGACTACTGATTTCTTTTCATCAGTAATACTTTAAATGAACTCACTAATTTTTTTGGTCAAATTTGACAAGAAACAATCATGTCATCATAAGGAAATAAAAATTGGATAGAATTTATAGTATAAATGTATATGCAAATGCATATGGATTACAATATTAATGTATTTGAAGATAGTTCTGTTTTACTTTAAAATTGTTTGAAAAGATTAAATTATCAAAATTCACTTTAATTTGTTTTCTATTTACAATTAGAAAGTTTGTCAATATCTTCTTTTGGATGAGTTATGAACGATTCGTTTCTATGATTTGACATAGAGATATACCTAAACATGTTTCAGGTAATGTACCTTGTGCAAATATACTTATCCAGTAAATAGTACTCATTATACAAAAGCATACAGTTATTAAAGTTTTCAATCCTGTTAAACAATAAGATGAAGGATAATTATTTACATTAAAGTTATGTACATTTATGCATGGTGTTACAGATGAACTGCACAAATGCTGATGTCGACAAAATACGTTGAAAGCAGCAGCTGTAGGAGATGATGATAAATTAGCATGATTATCATTATTATTATCAGTGAGAAAATGTGACTGGCATACATGACAATCAGGTTGATTTAAATCCCCACCCAATAAGTTGACATTATTAACTCTTCGGGAATTTCTCCATCTTAATCCACGAAATGTTCCATTATTAACTCCATTACCGGATTCTGAACTACCTGAGCATAAATAATTGTCACCATAGTTCTCCTGTGAAATTATGATTATAATAGAAGTAGAGTATTATTTAGAATTAGAGAAATTTACGTTTCATCAATGGTCATCTAAATTCATTTCTTAATTACAACAGATATTATTATCTTTAATAACAAACAGATAAATGCAAGAACTTGCTAATATATATATATATATATATATATATATATATATATATATATATATATATATATATATATATATATATATATATATATATATATATACTGTTGATGTATTGTTTTGTACAGAAAGAATATTCTGCTACATGACTGACTATTAATTAATGTATTAATGATGTAGTATAGGCAGGATAAATCCTATTTACTCATCGTTGTATAGACTAACCTATAGTAATCCATTTGTATGATAGACTTATAAGTGGTACTCAAGACAGTACATTGTGAAATATAATTAATAATGACTATGTAAAGGATATGATATCATAGAATAGTTCACAAATAATTATAAGTTAAGATATCTGTTGATAAGCTAGGTACAGTCTAAATGCAATGAACATTGATAAATATGATACTATTTATCTATAGATTGTAGGATATAAAGCACATTAGAAACGATATTTTATTATTATTTAGAATACTAACATTCATCATGAAATATTGTTCCGACTAAAAAATGCATTAATCAATTAGAAAATTAGGTCGTATCCATCGTGTTTAGTAAACCTTTACACTTAAGACGTGATAGCAGTTTTATATTGTAAGTTGTTGATTGAGATCATGAACCAGTTGATGTTAGGCCACTATTGGAAACCTGGAAGTACTGGACGGCTGTTTCATCCTATTGTAGGACCTCTCAGCAGTGCGCATCCACGGTCCCACTCGCAGGATTTAAACCCGGGGCCTTTGGTCTCGCGCGCGAACGCTTAACCTACTGGACCACTGAGCCGGCATCTAATGGTGTTAGTGACTAACATCAGACAATCCACGAAATTGAGCGACCATCTTCCATTGTACTTAGGTAGATGCCTGTTTCTACCCGACACAGATTAGCTCCAACGGTGGTCTAACATCAATCAGTTTATGATCTCAATCAAAAGCTTAATAATCTCCACAACCCCTATACTGATTGTTGTAAGGTGTGTTGATTTTTCAAAATTTTCTAAAATGTCAACATTGTTTATTTTCTTGATTTTGTTAGCTTATATGGTGAATTGACTTCCCTATCGATTACACGTTTTTTTAAGAATTTTAATATAACCTTTCATTTAGTGAAATAATAATTAAGTTAGTATGTTTATGAAGTTATTTCATTCCGAAGACAGTTTAAAATACAGACTGGCTGCAATCAGAGCACAATTTATCGCCATTAAGCAGTAGTTAGATATTTCTGCAGTACTCTGCATGGGCGAACATACCAATGATTAAACCCAGGAATTTCGTCTTCTTGATGATCGTGTTACTTTTAGACCACTGCATTGATATTCAGTCGATTTGTGATAGTGGACGGTCGGATAAACGCACGTACTTTTTATTAAGAAGATTCTATGTAGAAGTCTCCATGAAGTGTAAACATTTTGATATTTTTCATGTTATTACAACAGAACTTTAGTTTCTAATATTTTGAATTATCCCGTTCAAACTCCAAAGTGTTATTTAATTAGCTATTGAGTTCAGATACCCAGTTACTTGTACAAAGGGATAAAATGATCGTACTAGATCCCACTTCTGGCCACATTCCATCTATTCTATATAAATGTTATAACAATGGTTAAAGTTTGAAAATACCAGTCACTGACTCAGTTGATATTGTTAAATCTGTTTTTATGAAAAAGAATATGAAAAGATTCTTGTTTATGGACAACTTTAATCACTAAAATGGCTAGGTGAACTTACTCTCTTGTTGGTTGATTGGCCCATTGCTTGTGTAAATCCTAGAGGTCCAGGACTATTGTTTGCAGATGGATTTGTTTGCAATATTGGTATGGCTTGGCATGCATGACCACTTCCACCAGATAGACCACAACTACTGTTACTATAACAAACGGCTGTACCATTTGATGAAATAAATCCTGTACTGGTTCTTCCTGCTACACAACTAGTACATGAATCAGGGCATCCACCACAATTTCCACAGCACCCATAAGTTTGTATTAATCCTGGTCCATTCATTCGTTCATTAACTGGACCCTCTGCATTAAAACCTGTTGTGGTTGTTTTATTCTGATTCAAGCCAAATGACGACAAACGATTCAAATGTTGATATTTTCGTTGAAGAAATCGACAAACAAACCGATGATGAATTAAAACAAATAAGTAGATTAAACAAATTGAACTTGAACACATTAAACACCATACATTAAGAAATCCAGATAATTTAGAATTATTTAAGTTTTGTTCATTCATCCACAGCCAAAATGAAATTGAAAATAAAAATAGAATTAATTGTGTACAACTAAGATTATGTGTACCCAGTTGATTTGTCCATAGTAGTATAATAGAAATTAATACAAGTAGCATTGGAGGTAAACTACCTTGTAATATTCTGCCACTTTGTGAAAAACAAATATTAATTCCAAGACTTTGATCTGGACCTATAAAGTCATTAGAAACATATGATAACGATTTCAATCAAATAAATTTTGATTAAACTAATTCTGCATAAATTAGAATATAAAATTTAAAGCAATTAGTCCGTTTCATTAATTTGGATAGTGCAATAAGAAGACGAAGATTATCAGAGTTATGTGATATATTAGCGTAATACATTTCGAACAATCTGATCACACATATACTTGTTAAGAGCATTTATATATAAAAATAAAAGGTCAACTAGACTGGAAATGGGGTGAGAGGAGATAAGGATAATATTAATAAGAGTAATAATAATGTGAACACAATCCGAAACCTAATCACTCTGGATAATAAGTCAATATTACCAGGGTAAGTTTAAGGTAAGAACAAACTGTTTTTGAACACACAAAGGGGGTTTGAATTTTCGCATGGTTAAGGCTTAGTATACGCGCTTTTACACTTTTATACAACACCACAAACGCCGAGTTAGCATGAAACTTTAATTCACTTTTGAATTAGTTGGGGGGGGGGCGCAAATTACGGCACTTATTTTGAAATCGAGTCGTTTGAAAGTAGACGATTAGTGTTATCTTGGATATTATGTGAAGATGGAGTTGATTTACGTGTGACATAGCAGAGATTATATAAAATCGTTTGGATTGTTGACATCTAAATATTTTCTATCGAAAATAGTCGACTGAAAAAGTAATTTTTTGGCTAAAAAGATAACACAATCCTAATTGAGATCATTATATAATACCGTATTACATAATACAGTGTTATTTATTACATTTTTTGATCCAGTGGATTGACATGTCCTTTTTGAGTTATTCTTTTCAAGAGAGTTAATTTCAATTGTCAATTCCGATTAAAATGTCACATGATAAGGCTTGTATGTAAAACAAGGAGTTAATATACATAAATCGTTATAGATAATTGCTTGAATGATGGAACGCTCAGTTGTAAAATCGTCTATTTAATTTGAAATGGTTTAATAAAAAGTTTTAGAAGGTTATAAACTTGCTTCAAATATCATAGTCTGCTGAAGATCTTAGAGGAGAACTTGAGATCGAGATTGAAATTGCTAGCTTTTAAATGCAAGTGGTTACTTCGCAAATTGTGCGTACTGATTTCTAGAGTAACGGCTAATATAGTAATTGAAGGTTATGCCCACCTGATATTTCTTAACAAGTTATGATATTCTCAGTGGGTTGGTGAGTGAATGTACATCTTCCTGAATAGTACATATTTACCATGTTTTGATCAGTGAACATTTCCAGCTTAGCAAAAATGTATCTAATAAAAACAAAATGAACATTTCACTGTATGATGACGATATATCCACTTAGAACGAGTCAGGTTTTGACAATTGAAGCTAATAAATAATTAGTTAATGTAATCAAAGGATCATATATGGTGTTTTATAATACAAAATCAAGGTTCGTGCCAAATAGGAAAATTCTATTCCTCTTCTTAAGAAATTACTGTAAGAAATCCATCTTTAGGAGTTTATAGTTTGCTAAGTTGTTGACAAGCTTCGGGTACAAGTAATTTACCCACCAGTAATTTTGAAAACAAACCTTATGTCACCTACCAGATTTATCAATATGTTCATCATAGCGTTTTGTCACACTTAGATAAGATGATTTTCTTTGTACATCATTTGAGAGCAGACAACATTTACGTTCAGTCCACTTGATGATCGGTTGTGTTTTCATGAAGCCTTCTGAAAGATTAATAAAACACTGAAACATTACACTAAATTAAAGAGTAATCAGTGATTAGGTATCTTTTCATCACATCTAATGAAATGCTAAATATATACAGCAACAACTGAAAAAACAATTACCGAATAACAAATTAACAAATCTTTTACAATAAAATCAGCATCATTCTGTCTATAAGTTTCAGCTGTAAAATACGCATTATAAAATGCATATAACTTGTAGTAGGTGACGGTCATTCTGATGTATGAAGTAACTGTATTGTAATAATAGATATTAGTTGGTTTTGAAATAATGACCAAATTTACTGTGTATTATGCACGGTTCCATAATCAATAAAGGTGCATGATTGAGAATTGATAAATCTAGCTTGTAATGGTTACCCTAACGGTAATAGTTGACAGTTCAAGAAATAAGCTGGATTATTGACAGTTCTTTAGTACTTAAAAACCTAAATCATGTTCATATGAATGCTCTAATATACTATTTCTCTTAATAGACAGTTGATTTCATTGTGTTCATCAAATGTGAAATTTATCAATTTACTAAAAATCCTAACTAGTACAAAAAATACATGTTACAATATCCCGCTGTGAAATAAACTTTCTAAAGGATACGCGATTTTTAATGATGCCCTACTATTTAAATATAATTTAATAGTTCAATAAGACTAATTAAGACCATTATTAAGATGTCATTTAACTGTGAATACGTTTTGATTACTAAGTAGGCGTCATAAATGTCTATAACCGATGTATGACATTTATTGTATAGCCAAAGTATTCCCATTTTTTTTTGGAATACATAATAAATAAACTGTTTTTAATTTTAATCTTTGTAGAATCATACTAAAAGTAGGATTGTCATTTTAGAATAGAACTTTGAGTGTTTCAACAGGAGATCTTTATTCTTCTTATTCCTTTTTTTAACAAAAACAAATATGTTGCCATGTAAACATAAACATTTAAGCGGTTATAAACAGAAATGATTACCATTTAACTAGTTATTTTTAAGGTTTGAAATTTTACCCAGAATAATCCAAGCAAAGTATTTTATAGTGAAAAAAGTTATTTTTTTTCTAAAAAAAACATTCAATTCCGATGGGTTTACCGTCATTTTTATATAATCAAGTAGTATAGTGAATGGCGTCTACAGGGTGGTAGTAAAAGTAGAAAGATGAACTCACCTCTTTATTTTGCTACTCACCAAAAACGTTTATACTCAAAATTGGAGTTATTGAAATGTTATGATTTACTTCTAAGATAATTTCTTTTATTTAGAAAAAAAAGGAACGGTAAACTTCCGTCTATTATTCATCTATGAATTTATTTTATTGTTAATTGTTTAAGATTTTTCGTGGATAGCAATGAATCACAAAAGGTTATAGTCGGCTTACTTTTAATTTGTCACAATAAACAGGTGACGGGAATTTTATTTATCGGTGAAACAATTGTCGTCAGACATAGGTGTTATCATTTATATTCATCAGAATTGATATTTGATGTGAAGACTTTTGTAAAAATCTATCTCATCTTACTGTTTAAGTATTTGACAAAAATAAGTACAAACAATTATCCATTATCAATTATTTTTTAATTTTTTCGTAATGTCGCCTATCTAGTTTGAATAGATGTATAAATCATGTTATAACCATGTTATTTAAATGATTTAAGGAGAATGCTTTTGCGATTTTCTAAAATACAAACTAATATTAAATAGAGAAATGTTAAAAATCGGAACATTTTGATCAGTCGTTTAACGCTACCCTTGAAACTTCACTGATGAGACTATAGTGTGTACTACTGATGTCGACAGATATAAGTAGTATGTATCATCAGTAGAAAGTGAAATGTCTGACTGCAGAAAGTTAAGATCGAAGAAAAGAGAACGAGAACAGACAATGATTGGTATGGAAACGAAAGAACAATGAAGTCTGAGACAATTGATTGTCATTTTGCAAATGAAGTATTAACTGTATGGTTCTCAGATTTAACTAAGATATTCTGTAATTTTGTGTTCAAATATATTTGTTTGTTCCTGCCTACGTTCTCGTTTACTACAAGACTTTTTAAACTAAAATGAAATAGCTGTTCACAAACTTCTTATAACTTAAAATTCCTTAAGACGATACAAGCCCAACCTCATGAATTCATGCCATCAAAATGTATTTTCATTGTACATTTAACGTTTAACTTATATGGAATGATCCATCCATGCTTTTGAAACATGTATGAATTCATTGTACGCTGACTATTCTGTTTAACTTTTGAAATGGCTGGATCGTTCCTCAGAAAACTAATATGATTTTATTCTCTTTAAGTCGATATTTTAAATGAGAATAAAAAAAACTTGTTCATTTCTGAAATTTTAGCAGCTCATCACTTCAAATTTATTATTCTGTTCATTTCCTTATTCTATCATCATATTAGTACCTCTTTTAAACTTACATACTCATACATCGAAAACACTTAAAGAGAAATGACTTTTCAAAATATCACCGAATATGATTAATCAATATTCTTTACTACCTCTTCATAATTGTTATCTTAGTTTAGCTCTTTTTATTTTCTTAATGTGATAATAGACAGAAAATCTCTAATGAACAAAAGATATCAACTATCTCTCTCTGAACTTCATAATAAAATAAATGATTAGAATGATTTCATTATGTTCTTGCATAACAATGTTACATAAATGTTATGTAAATATAATCAGAATAAAACATCAATTTCTGAATAAGTGGATACACTCATTTTGTTTGGTCATCACCTATGTAATACGTTACTTCGACTTTAGAGCTGATAAATTTATTACTGATTTATTAATTTATTGATGAACAAGTCTTATTTTAAAAGTAAAATCAAAAGAAAAGTTAACTTGATTAAGAACATAGTTATATTAACCTCGATTTTATGTGGACATATATGGTTGGCAAATTTGTAGATAAAATTCTTTTGTAATTTTTATGATCTAAAACTATTCGCTATTTATCATATAACAGCTGTTCAACATATTCTATAATCAGAACTTCGTATGTTTATGAGTAGTGATAGTAATAAATTAAAATACTTAGATGGTAAGTTGTTATAACTGAATTATAAAGGTGTCTAAAGGTTTCAAAATAATTCTGGAACAGAAGCTGTATGTCATTTCATTTTTGTTGCTGTTGTTGTTGTTAAGGTGAATGAGTTATAAAATACTGTTCTCAATCAATATTGATCTTATGTGTTTAACACCAGTTAGAACTTAGCTACTGTACTTTGTAGAGAAGACCAAATTTCATAACCTAGTTAAAAGTGAATATTTATCAGACATTCATAATATATAAAATTAAAAATAGTATAGGTTTCATCTTTACCTTGTTTTATCCATATTGGACAAACAATAGCACCAATATGATGGAATTTTTTTGGCTCTTGACATGGAACTTCCACGACGATGCTATAAATTCGAAAATATAAATGAATTCTCTCATTAGTAAATGGACTGTTTTGGTAATTTAATATCGAATTTGAATAAAGTTTTCAATTTGAAAAAGTGTCATCGAGGTAGCCGTGAAAACTTGCTTCAAATTTCCTAACAGTGAACAACTATTATTTTGTATAGCATTCAACCGAGGGTTTTCAGGTCTTAGTGATGTGTGTCCGTGATGAAAATTGATTTGAATTTGAAATGTCTCTACGAATCACTTATATTATTAATAATTTTGTGTACAGTGATGGTTAACTGGGGAACAGGTTGCCGAAGTTCTATTTTGAAACAAATATTGTCATTGGTGTTGCTTGGTTTTAATCAGAATAACAAAACTATCTCCCTTCTAAAAACAGCGAAACCCCTAAACTACATACACTTATGTTAAGAAAATGGTATCAGTATATGAAGACAAATTATCCCTTTGACTTGTCAGTGGTCGATGCAGATATATGAATTTACTAAAATGTAACACACATAAAAATGACCCCTTTTCATTTTTATGTATAAACCTAGATACCGTAAACCTTTAGATATTGATGTATCATTCATTAAATCCTATTGGGTTTCATTGAAATACATGCTGACAATTTAAAGTATCAAACGAAGATTTTCTCACGTTTTCAGTCGACTGAGTTTCACAGAAGCTTTTTGTTTTTCACCACAAAAGAACCTACCAAAAATGGTGTAGCATTTATAAACTAATTCCTCCTTGACAGAGTTTTTCTATTTAGGTTGTCTTTATTGATTTCGTTACAAATTATTGTTAAAAGAAAGTGTTTTATATACATTGTGAAATTGTGATCTTCATATACAATTAAATTATTGTTTTATATTAACTTCTCTTTTTTGGTTCGAAGAGTTTTAGGTCATAGAAATTAGTTAGAATATTAGTGAATTACATAAATATATTATCAAAATACTTTATATTCATTGTATATAAACATTATCTATTTAGTACAGTTGAGGTCAATATAAGGACAAAAGTGAGTAATTACTTATTAATATATGTAGTATAAATATTAATTTTATAATTTACAATGAATCACTTTGAATATTTATCTAGTCTATTGAAGATATAGTGCAATTTTAATAGTTGAAATCATGAGTCAATTAAAGCTAGACCACCATCGAAAACCTGGAACCACTGGACGGCCGTTTCTTCCTATTGCAGAACTCCTCAGCAGTGAGCATCAACGATCCCGTCAACCCCCCTCCCGAGATTCGAACACAGGACCTATCAGTCTCGCACGTGAGCGCTTAATCACTAGACCACTGAGCCGTCCGGCATCCAACGGTGTTAATGTCTAACTTCAACCAATCCACAAAATCGCGCCACCGTACACCATTGTCTTCAGTGAGCTGATATCTCACAACAGACCAGGTTGAACTCCACTGGTCACGGCTTCTCACTAGAACTCCAGGAAATGCCTCTTGAAGTCAGTCGTCAGTGAGCAGATGTTTATTATCAGAAGGGATTTTGTGGAGACTTTTAGAAATTTCAATAGTTGACGGGGCGGGACCGTGGATGCTCATCGCTGGGGAGTTCCGTACTAGAGCGAAACGGCCGTCCGGCACTCCCAGGTTTTCCATGGTGGTCTAGCTTCAATCGACTCATGATTTCATCTATTGAATTTTCTAAAAATCTCCACAAAACCCTTTCTAATATGTTGCAATTGTATTTTTAAATATTTTTTGAAGACTCTTTGTATTAACGCTTTTTAAGTATATTGAGTGTTAACATGTACTACATGTTATAGTGTTTGCATGATACGAATATACTTTATAAGAGTAATTGAAAATGCGAAACTTTAATATTTTGAATAGTTTCATCATTCTTAGAATAGTTCTAGTCATAAATGAAACAAGAAGCTTGTTTCAAATATCCATTAATTATGAAGAGTTTATTTGTAGTGTTAACGACAGATTATAATGCTTGAATAGAGTTTCTCTCTACCATTTAGCTTCACAGTTAGAGACTTTACCACTGGGCTATCCGGGCTCCGACCGACCTCCTGTAGGACTGAGATGTATTCACAATTGATTGATCACTGGGTCATGATCAATACCATGTGTGTCAAGTGAAGCTGGGTGACACGGGATCGAATCCATCAGGGAGCACCAGTTCTCTCAAGATTACAGATACACCTTGCTGACGACTGTCAAATAGCACGAAACCTGTGTCCAGGGTTTCTTGTTGACTAATTCCAACCACCATCTTATCTCACAATAGTGCACGTAATGTCGAGTCACCTAAACTAGTGGTCACATTGCAATTTGTTTGATAGGATTCGACCTGCACTAAGAAGTACTTGACACATGACATTGATCAACACCCAATGATCAATCAATTGTGAAAAGGAAATAAGTATTAAGTTTTACTGACGGAATCTTATTTGATTGATATTCATGCTGACAAATAATTACCAAATCTAATCAGACTAAAGTTTGTATAAACATGATTTAAAATTAAAATATAGTTTGCTGTTAAAGTCATTAATTACTAGAAGTAAGTCACCTAAGAAATACTATCATAATTAGGTAACGTGTATTAAAGATTGTAATTAGCTCTAGAGTATGCAAAAACTCAAACCTTAGGTGAAATTCAAGCATAAATCATCATTACTCAATCAAGTGAACCAAATATACTTATGGTAATTTTTCCGTGTTTGTTTAGTAGTTGATGTTTAACCATTTAAAATCAATTGGTAGTTTTTTTACCAAAGAATTCATGTGAAGTTTTTTATCAGGTTACTTGTCATTTCAACATCGTTGTATCGAAAAGTAATCTCCTTAATATAAGTTTCAAGGACTTTCTACATCATACCTTTAGTTGTTAGTAAGTAGTTGACGATCTTTATGTTAAGAGTTAAAATGATCATGTAATTTGCCATTACAAGAAAACTGACTAGACTAAACCAAAACCTTAGAAATGTTTTCTTGAAAACTACATATAGTCAAATAAAATAATGGATTTTATACTGTGCTATAGTACTAAGTATTTTTTTGTCTATTCACTGCTACTTAAATCGGATTTCAGATCAGTGAAGATCTTCTGTAAAACATTTATCCAACTGTACGCTTTCAACAAGATAGGTACTTTGTATCAGGTTTTATTTTTGCTATTAACTCTTGATAAACTTTAAGAAAAATATGAGATCACAGAGTTGAAAACTGATTGGATGGTCAAAAAATAAACTATAAAATGTCTCATAATTAGTTTTGTTTGGAAGGCTTGTTAGTTTTTTAATTAAGTGAAATCTGGCCATTAAATTCATATATTGGACTCATAATTAATTTACGTAACTATAGTCAAGTTACGACAAAAAAAATTACAGGGAATACTATTGAGTATAGTTCTAGTAGGTCACTTTTATTAAACAGTTTGTACACGTTTTTCAGTAGCGTCATAACTTCATAAGTTATAATTTAGCTTCAGAGCTCATAAACATCTTAAGTTTAACGTGCTACTGATCATATACTCATAGTTTGAAATAACAATATTTTTAATAAATGTGACTTGGAACAGTCTAGTGCCTTTTGACATTCAATGTATAGCGTCAAGAAATACAAACCTTTCCATGAATGAATAATTTGGCCCATCTCCATCCGGAACCACCTTCAACGTTTTAGCACGATTATGAGAACGGATTGATTGAATTGACGATTCGTTAGGTAATCCTCGTGCAGCTAGCCCTGCTTGCGCTCTATTCAAGGAATTTGTGGGATTTGTTGATTTAGAGAATGAATTACTCCCAGCATATAGATTACGCAACTCTAAACGTTGATGAAAACGATCATGTCTGAATGCACCTTTAATAACTAATTGAGGATGCCATACTTTGTCCACATCAAGTCGAACACCACCTCCGGCCATATCGACCAAAGTACTTTCAGTGACTCTTGAATCAGTTACTGGCCACTCAGCAAACAATGTTAGACTTGCACGGCAAACCTGAATAAAAATATTTTAACAAAATAAATCTATTTTATATGATCATTGCATTAATCAAAGATAATTTGGATTATAAACGAGTTACATTTTTTGTTCAAATTTCCCTCAAAATTATGAGGGGTTAGTAGGGACTGTTAGGTTTCGAATTTTACATTTATACAACCTATGAAAAAACAATAAGCATCGAAGAGCTGTTCTGTCTTAATACTGAACTGCTTGGCTGGTGAGTTACAGATTTTATATTTTCTTATAAACCTTAGTTAAAAACTTTATTTTGGTGGAATACAACTAAATACAAGCAGCATGAGAAAGTTTATTATATTGTCAACATTCATAGATAAGCAATCTATCTGTCTGCCGAGATATCTCTTAGCTGAAAACAAATTAAGAACGTTAGTTTAAATACTGTTTTATAGATCATACAGAAGTAAAAAATGAATTTGCTTGAGCTATTGAAGTATATTGTTGGGATAAAATAGAATAAATATGTATTATTGGATAAATCTTCACACATAAACGCTTTGTTGTTTATGGGTCATTCTGGACTATTACAATCATATAGAACGTTTGGGTTTTCGATAATTTTCTGATGTGTATATGATACTGAGGATGAATGTCTTGCAAAAGCTTTAGTCTTATAGGTAGTATGATAAAATAAACCTGAAATTTACTAGTCTTATAATTTTAATAGTTGAATTTATGAGTTGATCTAAGCTAGACCACCACTGAAAATTTCATACACATAGTTCCCTTTATTATCTTAAAGAGAGCAAGAACAAAGATTGGTGCAGAATAATATGAATTCATTTTATTTCGTTAGGTTCTCATCAGCTGCTTACAACCTTAAATATTTGGAAATCAACGTTATTACAGATATTGACATATTTATACATAAGAGGGTGATTAAGGTTGAATAAATGTACCATGATGTAGCGAAGATTCCGATAGAGTTAATGAGGTCATAAAATTTTGTCTCGAATAAATAGAGTTTGAGAGGAAAATTTCCGGAACATTGAAATAGTGATTAGAACGTAAGACGTAGGCTCTCCTACGTCCGATTCAAAGGACATATTCCGAAAAGTTTAAGGTTAAATGGATTGAACGCATTCAACAGTGCTATCGCAAAACATCTCCTTGACACAGGACATGAAGTTGATATACTGAAGTCCTTCAATGTGATTAACAAACAGTCAAACTTCAACCTCTTGAAATTTACCGAAGCAATAGCAATCAAACGTTTAAAACCAGATCTATGTATACAAAAAGAGAAAGTAATAAATCTTTCTTTACCCTGGTAACAATAACCCCCTTTTCTATTCATTTATTTCTATTTATTTATTGCGTCATTACTTCAACTCTTTTAAATTACATCATACATATCTGACTGATTTCAATTCATATTTTCTTTAGTACCATTAATCTATTTTTATGAGTTCTAATTTCTATTTCAATGTTCCGGAACTTTTCCTCTCAAACTCTATTTATTCGAGACAAAATTTTATGACCTCATTAACTCTATCGGAATCTTCGCTACACCATGGTACATTTATTCAACCTTAATCACCCTCTTATGTATAAATATGTCAATATCTGTAATAACGTTGATTTCCAAATATTTAAGGTTGTAAGCAGCTGATGAGAACCTAACGAAATAAAATGAATTCATATTATTCTGCACCAATCTTTGTTCTTGCTCTCTTTAACACCATTGAAAACCTGGGAGCACTGGACGGTCGTTTCATCCTAGTACGGGACTCCTCAACAGTGCTCATCCACGATCCCGCACAAAAGGGATATGAACCCAGGATCTTCGGTGTCGCGCGCGAACGCTTAATCTCTGGACCACTGGGCCGACATTTAATGGTGTTAATATATAATATCAATCGGTCCGTTATCTTGCTCAACCCTACATCTACTGTCTGAGATTGTTAACTGCCTTCACCCGACACGGATTGGACAACACTGTTCATGGCGTTTGATATCCATTAAGTTCTTCAAACTCTCTTATCTTCATTATCACTATTTTTCAGATCGTTTCATTTTACTATCAATATATTACAAATAATTATATTTTTCATGTTAGTTTAGACAAATCGAGCCTTGAATAAGTGAAGTGATTAAAAGATTTCATAGAATAAAGATGAAAACATTTATCAAATAATCGATTAAGGGTTTCAACTTGAGATATAAACAATTTACAAAGATCACATTTATTGATTGATATTTGAAAATCTATTTAACAAACATTGTGATAATGAAAATGAATAAACTAACTACTTAACCTCAATGTAGCTTATAACATAGTTTGAAGAAGATATTAAGATTATCGGAGAAAATTAAACCATCGATTAACATTTGTATGAATACTTTAATTTATGCTGTTGTCATTTAGTCAGTTGGACTGAGTTAATTTGATGACATGAATTAGACGTATTTCTGATATACTCCGATCGTGAAGAAATTCATTTATAAGAAGAAATATATGTACTTGAGCTTGTTGATAATAGCATTGTTGAGAATACAAAACTTGTGATCAAAGTGATAAGAATTTACAGGGTAAATTGTATGACACTAAAAATAATAATGATAAATTAGATCAAAACTAGTGAGGATTATAATGGTCCAAAATAATGTAGTCCAATGTATACATCGCGAACATGAACAGTGAACATGATAATTCAGTAAATATTAGAAAATTATTTGATATTCACTGTGTAGATTGTGTTGAATCAAGTTGATGGAATAAAACTCTAATCCTTCCCAATACATAACTCTTGATATTTGTTGGTTTCCCGACATAAAAAAACCACTGAACATATTCAATAATCAGATCAGTACTGAAGGTATGAAATTCAAAATAAAATATCACTATAACCTATAAACACACCTTTCAATAAGTTTATTGAATAAGGTTTATGTTATACGAGACATAATGATACATGATGAACACAAACCAACATTCATCGACTAATACATGACATGGTTCGAATAAGGAATATATCTGAACTGTCTAGTCAGTGCACTATTTCATATGAACTGCATTTATTAATTGAAATAAATAATATTTTAAGATCTGTTTAACAAATGAAAATGGATAGACTAACTACTTAATCTCAATGTAACTTATAACATAATTTGAGGATAAGAATTTATACTCTTGTCAATATCTATATTATATTGGAAATATAGAGTTTTGTTTTAATAAAAATCACTGTTCATAAAAAAATATTGTATTCTATTTGTTAAAGCTAACTGTTATTAACAAAGATGAATAATGGCAAGCAGTGGAATCTAGAACGCGCGTTTTGTCCCATTTTGGACTCGTCAACTGAATGTGCCTGCATCTCAGAGTTGATGTTCACTCTGTGACTCGAACCCAGTACTGGTCACTTCAAACGCCATCGCGTTATCCACTTACCTACTGAGTCCTGATAGCCAGAAAAATGTTATGTTCAGCTGCAAAAACTACAAATCTAAAATTTGCTTATTACTAGTATTCATACTAATACTTTCTTCAAGATCATTTTAGTATTCAACTATTATTCTAGTATTTACTCTTGTCTACTATTTACTTTTATAACATTTTATACTTTCGTTTATTCTAATTTATGTTTCCTTTCCGGATCTATTCTTTTAAATGAAAACTGTAATGAACAACAATAATTAAATCTGCTTTTTTTCCTTTTCCATACTAATTGTTTGTTTACTGGTGTGCTAATGCAAAATGTAATTGATAATAAGAATTAATTAACAGTTCCGTACATCTGTATGTTTGTAAAGATCTAAGTTGTTTTCATCATTATCATATGATGACAATAAGTGTACAGTCATTTATTAATATAACACAAATTCTATTTTGTTTTTACCGTAGATCTGATTTCCGTTTTTTTTGTTTTTGTACATAAATACTGGGATGAAATTCGGTCTCAAGTGTTTCATGTTATTTTTACAAATACAAGCTACTCTTCACACTTGAATGTTTCAAAATCTGTTGTTCTTTGGGTTTAGAGTAGTCCGACTGAATATATTTGATATAAGAAGTTAAATATCGATTGAAGAAAAACTGAAAAATGAGAGGAACTGAACATTGGTCTTATTAAAGTTAAAAATACTTTAAGAATGTGTAAATATGACCACAAGAGAACTAACAAAAAACCTTCAGCTTCAGCGATAAACATAGTCGTTTCAGAGTATAATGCTTGAATTTATTGGTGTACATTTACAGTTTCAATCATTTTTGTGACTATGTTTCGGATAAAGAACAGCGTTTAAAGCAAACAATAGTGGTTACGAGTCCCAGAGTGAACGACAGATCTGGGATACAGGTTTTCCCAACTGATGAGCACCTAATAGAATGGACGGTGCAACCTGAATTGCTCTGATAGTCACATTTTATCTGTTCTATATTAACATGTGACATAATGGTTGTATCAAGGCAATTCGCACAGAGTGCACATATGTCAACTAAGACTAATCAAATTTCAGTTTAAGTATCTACATCAGGACAATTCAAAACTCTTTCACATTGAATTAGGGTGAAAAGGCATTTGTATGGCTTTATATAACACATTTAACTTTATTCTTTATTTAGTTAAGTTTATACTCTTTGATTAAACAAGAATTGTCTCATATCACTGTATACGTTATAAACAATATACTATATTTAATATTCTAGGTAAAAAATAAATCACTTGGTTATAATATGTAACATACTAGGAATGTCATCATCTGATATTGGGACTGAATTGATAGAATAGAAAGTGTAGCCGTAATTTTCAACAAATTTCAGAAAAGAGACTTGATAATTTGAAAAGAATAGATATTTACTGAGTATTTTATTATAAATAAATTACCGCCGAATAATATTTAGTATTACTATTATTCTAAATAGCTTAGTTAATAAAATAATATAGCGAGTATCTATTCCACAACATATAAGTAAGTACTGATATATGATCTCATTGTGTGAGTAAGAATGGACCGATCGCAAGGTAACAGAA